TGGGCGCAGTGGCACATGGACCAAGTTGGTGCAGTGGCACATGGACCAAGTGGGTGCAGTGGCACATGGACCAAGTACATGTAGGCGCAGTGGCACATGGACCAAGTGGGTGCAGTGGCTGATGGACCAAGTGGGTGCAGTGGTACATGGACCAAGTGGGTGCAGTGGCACATGGACCCAGTGGCTGATGGACCAAGTGGGTGCAGTGGTACATCAGGCCTCGAAAATTTAAAAAAAAATGTACTTGCCACAGGACAAGTAGATTTTCAATATCACTTGCCCTGATGAAAATTATGCTTGCCCCATTTTGCATAAGTGTATAGTGTAACATTATGTGAAGAAAACACACACGATTAGGATTAATGGAATACATTATTTATTTCATAACAGTTACATCATCACATTCACAAATATTGCTATTTGTTTACTGATATGATATTGTTCTCTGATTCATCATGCTGAAGAGCGTGTCCATGTATATGTTTCGTTCCACCACTTTCAAGCCAATGTTGAATTGCTGGTAGTGGATTGAATTCTACTATGGTTGGCCCATGTAACATTGTACGAAGCAAAGCTTGTAAGGATGATTGCTTTAGACAGGAGCGGTTGGCAGTTTTGATTTGCTTCATGTGAGAGAAACATCTCTCACAAGTTGCAGTACTACAGCTAATTGTAAACATGATATCAACCAGCTTTAAGATAACATGCAGATTATGAGGCCTGATAGTAAGCAGATGCTGGTACATCTTATATATCCCAGTGACAGGTAGATCTTTCATCCTTGATTTTAAATTGGTGTACTGCTCAATGCCCAATGCCACTTCCTCCTCAGTAAACAGAGGACTGAAGTGATTAAATAGAGCAGTGACATCATCTACACCATGAAGTACAAGTTCATCCCTTTCTGCTGGCCAACGAGTTATGTCGAATGCTTCAAAGTAGGAGATAGGTGGCTCAAAGAAGTTGTCAAATCTGTAAACAAAAATGTATATGTAAATTAAAAACAATATTAGTCAGGTAAGTGTTTCAGTGTATTGCTCTTATCATGATATAATCTGTAACAAATCAAATTGATGTATGGTAATTAGCAGGAATTATGACATGGTGAGCCAGCTAAAAAATGTCACAAACATTTAAGAATACATAAATAAATCTATAAATACCTTTTATCTACATATTTGCAAATCCCATCAATTAACTGCAATAAAACTCGGTCTTCTGATAAGTTAATTTCAGCACATGGACCATGCAGGGTTAAACTACCAAACTTCTTATTGTCATGATCATAAAGTCTGGAAAATTCTCCCATGTTTGCTGCATTTGTAGGTTTTATTTTTAGTGACACCAATTTCAATATTGCAGCTTCTAATTCATGACAGACCTCAGTAACTAAAAGATCTTCCCTCTGAAAGATCTGCAACAAGGGATAACACATACATTAATGAATTTAGACCACTTGTTATGATGACTCAGAATGACTCTCCAGTTAGTATATGTAGTTGTAATTGAATTAAAATAAATTTTACCTGGGAAATCTCGGCTACTTTTGGAAGTACATCCAACATGATATGTAAAATTTTGACAAAGGACACACTATGTACTTCTTTAAGCCATCCCCGTGCTTTAGCTGCAGTGTCATCTTTCCCAGAACCAACATCCTCCAAATGAGATGCCACAACTGATAGACTTTTCTTTATGGCTTTAACTGCCCTGACCTTGCTGGATAACCATCTAACCTTGGAGTAAATCAACAAATTAATAGTACATGAATATAAACAAGAAAACGTACAAGATCTTTGAAATATGCTAAGTTTATCAAACAAAAAATCTTCACAGTATATAGAAAAATTGAGGAAAATTAACATGCAAACCCAAAAATCATTCTAGTTAAATTAAATTAAATTTAAAATAAAATAAGTGTCATTGTTGCTTACTAGTATTACCATGGTAAATGAACAGAAAAGTATATTGTACATTTCTATATTATTAATATTATACTTGAAGGCAATTATATACATAAGGGATTTCAACACGCATATTGAATAACCCAGTAAATATTTGTTTAGACGAAAATAATAAAATTGTGAAAAATAAGTAATTAAAATTTATTAAACACTGACCTGTTTGATATATCCAAGATGTGCCAATTCCTCGTCCAGAATTTGTGCAACTAACTTTAAATCCCGTCTCTGCTTTGGGCTGTAGTGATAAAAGTTAAAGAGGCCTTTCACGGTGTTCTCAAACTTGTTTATTTCGGGAAGATGCTTGACACTGTCAAGTACAGCGAGCTCTAACTTGTGAGCAATACAGTGCACTGGTATAACGTAGGGTGCCTCCTCCAATATATGGGCAACAACTCCCGACTTCCGTCCTTGCATGACGGATGCGCCATCAAAATTAGCACAGACTAATTTAGGTCCAGGCTTGTCACGCGAAGTCATATTTTCCATGTTGAGATTGACAGAGTTCAGGCCGTCTTTGATCGCTTCGTACACACCAAGTGCATGGGAATGGGCCGGCGCTTCAATGCTTACCATCGTCGTTACTGGTACGCCCTTAGAAACGTAACGAACAAAAATATTTTCTTGTTCGATTATGCTGACATCGGCACTGCCATCAGCTAATACTGACAAGAAAGCTGCATCTTGAATTTCGTGGATGTTGTTTTTCTTGATGACAGCGGCGATATGTGTTAGGAAAGCACTAGCAGATTTGTCGTTCTGGTAGTTATCGCCGATCTCTGCGCCGACTTTCCTCAACAGGGCACATTGCATCGGCATGTCTGACATCGGTTTCCCATACTTGGCAAGCATAAACACTGTGCTAAAAAGGTTGCTGTATCGTCGTAGCTGGTCGTCATTCAATTTACGCATAGCAAGCCCGATAGGTGTCGCATTTATATTTGGAGATGACAACTCGTTGGGACTTCCGATGACCTGTGTGACGTCGTCTCTACGAAAATACGCAAAGCACTCCAAGTGTGGGCGGCTGCTTTCATGTGATCGTATTGATTCTACGCGAAAAAATATCGCAACCATCAAAAAAAGCATTTCGCTTACCCGACGGTTTTGCAATACTAGGATATTTCAAACAAACTTGACAAAACATTTTATCTTGCCTGTGTTGTAGCCATGGCCACTGATCGATCCATTTAGGCAAAAACTTTCGTTGGCACTTTAAATCATCATAGCGTTGGTTTTTTGACCTCTTGTCGACCTTATCTACGGTCTGATCTAAGCGTCTTTTGTTGTTTGCCGACGATGGTGACTCGGGTGCCGATGGTTTGGTAAAATACCTGACGATACTCATGGCTATGATTCGGAGATCAAGGGCTATAGACAGTTCAAATGAACCAATTTTGAAACCAAAATTTAAAAGTTAAAAGTCGTAATTTGATTGGATTTCAATTAAATTTTATTACATAAAAAGTTGCAAGATAAACCACTTCATTGGACGAAAGAAAAAATAAATGACAACTATCACACGCGTGACTTTGGCGTAAAATAGAAACATGTTGATAATTTGTATCAATCTATCAAGAGCCGAGCTTAGGGAAATAAACATCAGCTTCAAAATGGCTTGCCCGTCGGACGAGGACGTTGTTGATTTCACTTGCCCTGACATAAAATCTAGTTGCCACGGGCGTCGGGCAGCGAGAATTTTCGAGGCCTGATTAATGAATTAAGTTTCTTACCTTATTTCCTAGTAGCTTGCCTAACGAGTGAATAATAGTTTTAATAGTTCGGAGCGGAGTGTCAATTTCTCGTTCTTTCCACATTTGCACTGGGAAAGCTTTTAAAAACAAGTGTAGATTTAACAGCACCCTATCAAGGTTTAGCTCAGTCACAACATTTGGAAGCATTCGTACCATTTTCCATAAACACTGGAAATAAAAATATGATCTGTGAAACCTAACAAGACAAGGCTAGGAATGTTTCAATCAATCAATTGCAAAACTGTAGTTATATTATAACGGTATTTTAGTTGCCTAACACATCGTTCTGAACATGCTTTTCATTATGCAAGCTGTGGTTTTTCTGTGTTTTGATACAGACCTGTGTTTAGATATAGGCGATCCTCAGGTATTTTTGATTCA